CAACACCAACACCAACACCAACACCAACACCAACACCAACACCAACACCAACACCAACACAACCAACAAACAAACAACAACAACAGCAACAACAACACCAAAGCCACAACCACAACCACAACCACCACAACCACAACCACAACAACCAGAACAACCACAACCACAACCACAACAACAACACCAACAACAGCCACAACCACAACAACAACACCAACAACAGCCACAACCACAACCACAACCACAACCACAACCACAACAACCAGAACAACCACAACCACAACCACAACAAACGCAACAACAACCAGCAGCTGCAGCAGCAGCACCAGCACCAGCACCAGCAATAACAGCAATAACAGCAATAACAGCAACAGCAACAAGAAGATGACAAGGATAACCCTCTAGGACCGTCATCCTCAGTCACCCTCAGGTTGTGTCACAAAATGGCCCCCCTTCCCAGTGACCCCAAAATCATGGCGCGGTTCGCTTCGTCCACATGACGTTCGATGTGTCTCCCATCCTCCAGCCGGGACCGATGTGTCTCCCCTGGGCTGGAGACAGCGTCCAGCGTCGGACAGCGGACACCGTGTGGGACCGAGGACGGGATCCATAGGTCAAATGAGGAGCCTTCCACACTGCTGTCAATGAAACTCCATGATGGAATCACGCTGGAAAAATGAGGAGGTGAAGTGGTGCCAAGCGTTGGGAGAGCGTGAGAATGCATCTGAGGCTAAAACGTCCTCTTGAAGGAATAACTCCTGTACCAGTCGCTACACAGGGAATATTACACCAATACTTGTCCGGCATTAAAGTTCATCTTCCATCTCAACGGTGTGCCCGGTCAAGATGGCCCTCCCCCTCCGCCCCGGTGACCTAGGATCTGGGTGAAGCCACCGTGACGTCACTTAGGCTGGTACCCGCTTCAGAGGCCCTGCGAATGGCAGGCTCTGCGGTCTCGGCGCTTCGTGCTGAGACGACTAGATGTTTAGATCAGGCGTTTTGGACCATTGTCAACTGCTGTACCCGCGGCCATGAACCTGGACCCGCGGCCTTCTACTCTTTCTTCGACTGAAACGCTTCACTGGGTGCATGTCAAGAGTATACGGAAACTCATGAACCGATTCGCTCACGCTCCTCCGACTTCGAGCGGGGCTGGGCACCAAGTGAAGCTGCAGTGAGTTCTCCTGGCCGCTGTGCTGGCTCAGCCATGGACTCAAAACTAAGGGTTACTATGAATATTATGAACATGTTGAAAAGTATAGTAGGGGGCCCTTCAAAGCTGCTGCCCGGGTATATATATATGTATACATATATACCGTATAGTACAGTTATAAGTTATATGACTATAGTTGATGACTCTCGTAGAAAAAAACACCGCAAAACTGACCACAACCACGGGACGCTGTTTTGGCGAGGCGAGGGGAAGCCGACCCGACCCGTGCGGAGAAGAAACACCTTCTGAAGCACCCCCATTGAGACAAAGTGTTCCATGTTCTCCTTGTTTTTCTCATCTTGCGGGTCTCAATTAACGATGATTTTTTGAGGCTCCAAATTAGAAGGCATCGGAATCACAAAGTAATAACTGCCAGTACGATGGTCCTTCCTTTCCTTTTCAAGAGATTCACATACGACAACACAACTATATACATACAAGTTCTATACATCCAATTAAAACTACCAAACATAGTTCTGGGTCAATCTTATACCTATGGCAAGTATTAGTATGTCGAACCTTTGCCTACTTTACTGATTCTACAGTTGCGCATCTCACCCTATTTCACCCACCGAGTCGGTCCCCTTTCTCCGGTCACCGACAGAAGAACGAACGAAAGCACACCTTGGGGTCGGTCCACCTCCAATCGGCTTCCCCTTGGCGTCACAGGAGCGAACATGTTAAGCGATCGGATTCATCGGAGCGTGAACACCCATATATGTTGGGTTCTATCCGACCTGTAACAGTGGATGATGGTTAGTAGAGGCCTGGACAAAGTGACAAAGTGACAAACCTAACATATACGTCATAGATGTTGAAGGCTTGTTGGGCTGACCAAAACTAACGTCTTGAGTTGTTTTCGCTTGGAGGGAAAGAAACTGCCTTCGGAGGCTGTCAGGTGCCCCTCTGAAACAAATGTTTTATTGCGATGGCCATTCCAATGGGTTTCATCGTTGCCGTCGTTCATCTGGCTCCCAGCTTTGGAATGTTGGTGGCTATACAGGACATTTAGGTTCGATGTTCATTGATGTTCCATGCCACATGACTCAACGTGGAATGGTTACCAACTTGCCGAACCAATTGTTGAGCCCGGGACTGAGACGAACAAACGAACATGTTGGTCGCCAATGAGGGTCAGTGTTTTCGATGGATCAGATCATCAACCAAAATGATCCAAGATCAGTGTCCTGATTTACATGTTGCGTTGACTTAAAACCCATAAAATTCACATTTCCTCACCGACTCTTCCAGAATGAAGGAATGAATCAGTTTCTTGCCACATAATAAAGCAATAAAACGGATATGAAGAGGCGTGCAAAGGCGTGGAACAGCGTTTCTCGGCTCAACAAAACAGCTTTTCTGATTCTACAAAACCCCAGCGGTTTGGGTGTTCGGTCTCACCACCTGTGCGGCTTCGTTCGATGGATTTGTCGCGTCGCGCGACGCGCAGGCGCAACGGCGCAGCTCACTCTTCTCATGTCACGACTTCGCTCCGCCGGTCGCATCTCCACTTTTCAGCAGCTTCGCTGTGGCCGCCTGGGCAATGGGCGATGGCAAAGAAGGAATAAAGGTCTACCGCACGCAGAAAAAAATAGACCAATGAACTCAGCGATTCTCGGTGATTCACATGTTAAGATGGTTGATCCTCTTCGAAAAGGTGCAAATCTTCCAAAAAAACATCCTATACAATGCGTGGGCCTTGGCCATCTGGCCTTTTCAAACACCTTGGGACAAATGTAGTAATGTAGGCCCGGCTGTAGTCTAGTGCCCTCAAGAGACACTAGCTCGAAAAACAACAAGGGCCATTGCATGGTTCAATATATAATTACTATATGTATCATATATATCACGGATCCGGAACTTGTTCAAATGCAATTCCCCAACAAATCCGTAAAGACGCATGTGCACTGTACACGCTCTTATCCATCCTCTGACCCCGACCTCTGACCCCGACCTCGCCTTGGCCTTGGCCTTTCGCTTCCGGCCCTCTGGAGGTGCCAACTCGGTGAGGATGTAGCACTGCGCCTGCGAGGACCGTTGCCAGGTCTCTGAGACAGGAAGATCTGGATGGCTTTATCAAATGCCCCCTACCAGAATAGCGTGCACATCATAGTGATCATATAGTATCAGTATATCATAGTACTAGATGGACCATCATCACAATGTGTTTTGTCGAGAAGGAAGATCTAGAAATCACCACGTAGATTTGAGGTCCTCTCACATCATTCTGCTTGGCACTTGGAGGGTCAGGTCTCAAGGTGCTCCACTCACATCAGGAGCAAATCGTTTGAGTTCAAAATGATCTCAGAGCCAGCAAGCCTCCAAGAGTGACACCACTCCAACCCAAACAGCATCAAACAGCCGCTGGTCTCCCCCCTCCTGCCTCTTGCAACACCTGCATCTCTCCCGCCCGCACCGCCGCAGACATCCCAGCACGGCCATCGCGTGCGTTGAAGGGCGGCTCGGTGGCACTCGTCAAACGGGCTTTGATCTTGGCCAACAGGCCCAGAAGGCCTCAAAGGGGAAAGAGTTTGCCGAGTGTGCTCAGGTTTCTCGAAGGCAAACACGTAGCACACACAGAAACTATGAAGACGGTGGTTCTACCACCCTCTGTTGTGATCCTTCTAAGGCCTGGATAACCTTTAACTTGAGGGACATTACTCGTATTTTGGTTTGAGGGTCTGGACATGAGCTGCTGTTATCATTTGGTCCAGAGTATTTGCAAGTCTTGAGTCTTGAGGTTCAACTGTAGCTGTCCCTTCCTTCTAATTCAAGTCTTTTCAGATACCATCTGTGGTTTGAATGATCTTCAAAGCCGGTCAACCCAAGGTCAACATTGTTGAACCTGCATAACCGGCTGGTAATCCAAAAAAATGTCTGGATGAGCGAACTCATGGGGTACAAGTGTTGATTCATTTGGGCAAACTCATGGGGAGCGTAAAGAGACGGAACACCGGTCAAGAGACGCAAAGAACATGGGGTGGATACCTCCTTCACAAAGAGCGCGCAAAAGACCCAAAAAGCTTTTTCCACGAGAGATATGTCTGGGCCAGAAGAGTCCGTCTTCTGTTCCCTGTGCCTTCATCAAGGCTTTGGAAGGGAGGGCTTGCGCCAACTCCTTAAAATCTTCGAAAACTGCATCTGCACCCAAGAGTTCGCATTAAAAAGGACACTTCCTTGCTGATTTCTTCTCTCATGGGCCCAACGTGACAACTCAGGACAATATCATCACACTCGGAGAATCAACTCTGGGGCCAAATCCAACTGAGACCACACCGCAATGCTGCAACGCAGCTCAGTCACCTCAGTCACATTCGAAAAAAGGGTGCGTCCCGGGTCCAGGTTTGTCTTGGTCCATGACATGGCCGTGGATTCTGGATTCACTCTCGGATCGGTGATCTATTGGTGTGTCTTGCAAGGAAGACAACAACCCAGTTGTAAATAAAAGAAAGGGCATGTTAGACCACCACCCCAATTGGTGCTGGGTTTATCATCACTATATTACCATGGTGGAATTGCACGAATAGCCTAGCTGGTGTCCCAGTTTCTCTGTCTCGTGACGCAACCCCCTTGGCAGGTCAGCAGAAAGTCAAAGAAATGTCGTAGCTGTGACAGGAGACCATCTGCCTCTGTACGCACCCTGGGCCAGTCTTTCGGGGTCACTATTGTGAAAGAAAAAACCGATCTGGTGCGCGCCATGACACCGCCGAACAAAAAAACACAAGACAAACATGGCCAACTCCGGTCTTCCCCAGTCTTGGCCCCCCCTTTTCTCCCTTCGGCAATCCAGTGAATCCAGTGGTCCCTGTATGACCAGCTCTCGCCTGCATCACTTCAGGGCGAGCTCTTCTTCACCTTGATCACTGGCACCAAGCCGCCCGCCACGGCAGCCATGAGCCCGGCAGAGATCAGGGCCGCCTGGAGAGAGCTGGCGGAACTTAGTACACCTGACGCCTGACACCGAAACTTCCAATACATACGAACTTGTATTGTTGCATACTATGCATATTGTTACTGTGAGTGAGGGACAGTGAGGGATTGTCAAAGACATCAATACACACAGTATTATGTTTGTTTGCTTTTTCATGAGATTGTGCTCACTCAAGTGACTCAAGTGCCCTTTTTTGGGTTGAATGCCCTTCTTCCTGCAACTTCCACTCATCCTTTCGGCAACTCACAAATACTGTCGAGATCTGTCTCTACTCCCCTGCAGAGGGAATTGCTGGGAATGGACCAAACCAACGACACTGAACCAGCGCCTGCATGTTGTAAGGACCATGGAGCTCCTTGGCTGCCACACCGCCCAAGCAGAAGAACAGGGTCCCCGCGGCAAACAGGAGCACCTCGCAGTGCTGAGGAGAAGAAACCGGTTGGAAGCAGGGTCTGCCAGGGTTGGAAGCAGCGTGTTTGCAGAGTCAGTTCTCTTCATCTCAATCTGAGAGGATTGACAAACACTTCTGAAGCCTGGGAAAATGGAACCATTTCAAAGTTGGGATGCTTGGCTTCAGCCAAGCCACTTGGCCACCGGCTTGGCTGAATCTTGAGGTGAACACTTCAGTCCAACAGGTACTCCAGAATAGGCAATATTATGATTTTGCCGGAATCTATAAATTTGAAACGATGGTTTGTACACCAAAAACGATGGTTTTCAAGTAATTACATTGATTTCTCCTTAACCGATTCTGGGACAATATATAACTTATGCTCTCTGCGACTTTCAGAGTCGCAGGCTGGTACCAACCCTGGGACAGTCCAACAGGCAACGAACGATTGATTAGCTTCGTCTGGACAAACTTGATGCTTGGAAACGAGCGAAACATGAAAAAAACATAAAACAAGATGGAGCCCACGAACCCGAATGCAAGCACGTTCAAAAAGCTACATATGTCCAAATGACACTCTTGTAGGACACTCTTGTGGGACACTCTTGTGGGTCACTCTTGTAGGAAACTCTTGTGGGACACTCTTACGGGACACTCTTACGGGACACTCTTGTGGGACACTCTTGTGGGACACTCTAATCGGAAACTCTTGTGGGACACTATTGTAGGACACTCTTGTGGGAGACTCCTGTAGGACACTCTTGTGGGACACTCTTGTGGGGCACTCTTGTGGGACACTGTTGTAGGAAGCTCTTGTGGGACACTCTTGTAGGACACTCTTGTGGGACACTGTTGCGGGACACTGTTGCGGGACACTCCTGTGGGACACTCATTTGGGACACTCTTGTAGGACACTCTTGTGGGACACTCTTGTGGGACACTCTTGTGGCACACTCTTGTGGGACACTCTTGTGGGACACTCTTGTGGGACACTCTTGTGGGACACTCTTGTAGGACACTCTTGTGGGACACTCTTGTAGGGCACTCTTGTGGGACACTCTTGTGGGACACTCTTGTAGGAAACTCTTGTGGGACACTCTTGTGGGACACTCCTGTAGGACACTCTTGTGGGATACTCTTGTGGGACACTCTTGTGGACACACTCTTGTGGGACACACTCTTGTGGGACACTGTTGTGGGACACTCTTGTGGGACACTCTTAAGGGACACTCTTGTGAGACACTGTTGTGGGACATTCTTGCGGGACACTCCTGTGAGACACTCATTTGGGACACTCTTGCGGGACACTCTTGTGGGACACTCTTAAGGGACACTCTTGTGAGACACTCTTGCGGGACACTGTTGCGGGACACTCTTGTGGGACACTCCTGTGGGACACTCATTTGGGACACTCTTGCGGGACACTCTTGTGGGACACTCTTGTAGGACACTCTTGTGGGACACTCTTGTGGGACACTCTTATAGGACACTCTTGTAGGACACCCTTGTGGGATACTCTTGTAGGACACTCTTGTGGGACACTCTTGTAGGACACTCTTGTGGGACACTCTTGTAGGGCACTCTTGTGGGACACTCTTGTGGGACACTCTTATATGGACACTCTTAACTCTCTTGTGGGACACTCCTGTAGGGAACACTCTTCGTACGAGACTTCCTCGAAAAGTCACGCTGCGAGGCTGCAAGACGAGCGTTTCGTACGAGACTACTTCCTCCAAAAGTCACGCGTCAAGTCTCAAAAACGAGCGTTTCGTACGAGACTTCCTCCAAAAGTCACACGTCAAGTCTCCAAAACGAGCGTTTCGTACGAGACTTCCTCCAAAAGTCACGCTGCGAGGCTGCAAGACGAGCGTTTCGTACGAGACTTCCTCCAAAAGTCACGCGTCAAGTCTCAAAAACGAGCGTTTCGCACGAGACTTCCTCCAAAAGTCCAGCGGAAACACCCATCGGAGCACCCACATCACGCAGCCCTGCCACGCAGTTTCGCGATTCCAGCCCCTCCAAACAGCATCCGCTCACACGCCAATCCCAATGTGACAGCGACATTCACAACTCACAACCTCACGATTCCCTGCGCACGATTCCCTGCGCCTGCCACAAGAATCGCACTTCCACGCCTCAAAGCCCGCACAAAGTCCTGCGCCTGCCACGAAAAGTGACAATATCATCTCATGCGAGCTTCAAGAAAATTTGCACCACACCGCACGTTTGGAATGATTTCGACCCGTTCTGAGCACACTCCCATCCACCAAAATCGCCACTTCAGCTGAGACCTGTCACAAAAACAGAGCTTCGATGCCACACCCTGCAATGCAAATCCCAATGGCACGGCCACATCCAACACCCCAAAAACACGACTCTCCAAACGCTAGTCCCAATGGAACTGCGCAGCAATCTGCAGATCTCACCAAACGCTGCGCCTGTGCAGCGAAACGCATCACGTTGCTTGCGCGACATGTCTTTTTCATGCAAATCACAATGGAATAGCGGCGCAAACTGACACGTGACACATCCATGAAAAGTCACTTGCAAAAGCTTCCCCCAATGGCAGCGCCTTAGCGCTCTACCGCGAACGGTTGCGAACGGTTGCGAACGGTTGCGGACGGTTGCGAACATAGAAACAACGGGTCGCGAACAAGGCTCTACCCCCAGACCCCCAGAGTTAAACGAGAACCCTTCGCTACGCATTCGGGAAAACACACAAACATATGATGATATATGGCCGTATGATGCCATATTATGGATGTGTATTGAAATAGGGAGACCTCGGGAAGAAGGGAAATAACATCAAAACCCATCGGATGGGGGGTCTCCCTATCTAATATGGCCCAAAAGCGAGAGAACCGAACCACATGACATGAATCCACCCTCTTCAACTCGCTCCTCTCCGGCCTTCAGCAAGGTGGGAGGGTTCTCTCCGCTCACCAACGCTCGGGCCCAAACGCCCAAACCGGTGCCCACATCAGTGAGGTAGCCCGTGAAATGGGTGGTGCAAATGGGCAGCGACAAGCACCTCAGAGGCGTGACAAGCGCGCGTGGATCTTGCTTGGTGGGATGGGTCTGCATTTTGCTGGTCTTGCCTGGGAGAAGTTCAGGACGTCCGGTAATGCTGTTCCATATGCTTCGGGAGTTTGCGACAGGAAACTTGACGTTCCTTTTCTCCGTAACAAACAGCGGAACAGTTCCGCGCAGTGTCTTCAAGGACCGGACCTACGGACCACCAGTTCTTCGAGGAAAGCAAACATAAGTAGTAACAACATGGAAAACACATAACACACAGAAGCATGGAAAGGAAAGGGATCAAGGACCAAACCTTGAGTCCTTAAAACCCATCCTTTAAGCCTTTTTATCATCTCTTTTCACTGCCTTTCTTTGGCTGGATCCATTTGATCCTTTCGTGTTTTGTCGGGCGAAAGCGCCTCTGGTGATCAATTCTCATGCCTCTGATGCGTTTGAAACCCAAACGATCCCAAATGTCTAAACTCAACATCTCAGAATTTCGTCAGTGATGGGTAGTACTAGTGCAATCTAGTGCATACTAGTGCAAGAACGTGTAGCTTAGTTCGTAGGACCTAATCAATGTTTAATAGTCTCTGACATTCTTTGATTTTCTTTGTATTTACCAGGTACTGTATCTCTGTCACACCAAGCGGATACCTGATCGAGTGTTCCTTATGTTTGCAGCAAATGAAACTCACATCCCTCCAGAGATCTCTCGCCCTACCTGCGGGTGATGCCATTCTGAATGCCCTGGGAGAAGGCAAACAAAAGCAAGCATTCGGAGGTGTTGTCGTTGCCCGCACCACCGTGCTCCTGGCAAAACCCAGAAAGTGCTTGTGGACCCACGACAAGGGATGGTCAATAGACAACCGTTCATCAGGGTCTCCTAGAAGAGACTTTTCGAGATGGTACGACTTGGAGTCTCAAATGTGGAGATCTGACGAATTGCGAGGTGAAGCTCAAGTCGGGCGTTTTGTCGGTCTCCAAATGTCTCGAGTACTCCCTCCGCCAGCTGATGCAGCAACAAATGATACTTGAACACGAGTGATTGATTCCTGCTACCAGTAGCTGCTGCTACTTCCTGCTAGTTCAATCCACGTCTCCAGTTGGTGCAGTTGATGTTGATTACCTCAGGTTGGTAGGTGATGTTGAGGCGGAATCAACAGCGAAAAGCCGCTGAAACAACGGAAAAGCTGCTGCCCTGAATGAGTCGAACCTGCCTATCGGCTAAGCGATGTCATCTGCCGAGGTGCAAATGTCGAAGAACCACGACCGACGAGCCATGATCGGTATGGCGATCTGCTGATATCTGCAAGACTGGGACAGAAACCGGCATCAAAACGCATAGTTAACGCCAAACAAGAACCAGTGGGAACCTCAAATCATCTGAGAGAACCTCAGCCAATAACATGCGAAAAGCATTGGAAAACACAATCAAATGATCCTTATAGGAGATTTTGGAAGTACGCACCACGAGTTTGAGATCGCACCACGAGTTTGAGATATATACTCTTGACCTTTGAAACAATACGACGTAAAAACGGCGAAACCGCTCCTTGCAGTAGTGCACCATGCATCCAGCCACCACGGCCAGGGCTGCGGCCAAGAGGTTGGGGGAGTAGCGGCCGGAGTAGATCAACTCGCAATCTGCCTTGGAGTAGCCCGCAAAGAAGGAGCCCAGGCCTTGGTTTTCCGCGTCCGTTTCGTCTGTTCCTTGGGTCCACCGATTTCCGGTGCCCGCGTCCAAAGGGCTGAAAAAGCCAGGGAAACTAAGTGAGCTGGACCCCACTCAAGAACATCATGATCTTCTGTAACGACTGATCAACATGCACATACCACGCAAATCTGTGGACGACTCACTAGAGTTGGAACCTGTGCCAGTCGACTTCATGGAACCTGTGGAACCTGGGTCGGGACCACAGGTCTTGTGTCATTGTTTGATGTGTTGCTTTCAACAGCCGGACATGTTCTGAAGTCCTTTCAATGCTGTGGAATCGACCATGATCTGCCCATGGTCTTTTGCAGACCCAGGTCCAGTGGACCTGTTCCAATGGTCCAGTGGACAGAATCGAAAAGGGACCAAACCACAAAAACGCATCAATTATGCTAAATGACTGTAGTGCATACTAGGTTACTAGATCATACTGGCTGAGCGAGTTCTACATACTGGCTGAGTTGGAGCCCAAACGCAGCTCACAAGTCCTCAACAGGGCCGACACCTGCACACTCTTTTTATATCCCGATCAGTTGGACATGAACAAACGTCTTTTGCGTGGGCACGCATGTAGGATTCACAAGCAAGACACACATAGTATGAATCACAAGCAAAAAGGAGGTCGAGGCATCAAGAGATAAAGGTTGGATATATGACCAGTAACGATGACGATTGTTAGGTTGCAGGCCCTGTTCAAAAATAGTGATTTTCTTGCATACCGACTGTTACAGGTTTACTGGGCGTACACTTCCGGCGTATCTCGACCTAAGTCCACCGACCTCGTAGAAGGACATCTATAGTATATGGGCGTAAGCCGTAATGACCAAAAAAAAGGGTGTACGGCCGTACGGCCAAAGAAATTTGGCCATTTGTAGATCCAGGTTCATAGAGGTATTTTAGGATCCATAGTAATAGTATCAAATACGAGTTGGACCAACAAACCCTTGATATCTATAGGCCTTCTCGTGCCGATAGTGGGAGGTAACCCGTTTTTCATCTGCCATGTCGCCATGTCGATCCGATCGTCCTTTGTGCCAGGAAAGCACGGATGGTTCAAACGGACCCAGGCATACCCAAAGGGTGGATCGGTAGAATTAAGGACATCAACCATTCCTTCGGACGGTATGAGTAAGATGGTGTAAGGCTTCGGACGTGTCAACAACCCAGGCTTCAGGGAACATCTTCTAACACTTACTGATTTGCCCAATGGTATAGGACCTTCAGTCCGAAGTAAGAACTTTGAAGGATGCTGAAGTTTAACTCGCTTCATCCGTCACCGATTTCGTTCGTGACATGGTCAGCGCTGCCGAACCGACGCACCGAAACTTGGAACACGCATGGACCATGAGGAACAAGCTGCCGTTGGTTTTGTGACAGAACCCCAAGAGATCTGAAGACCTGGAGACCAAGACCTAGAATCCTTTTACATCCTTTTACCATTGATGTCAAATGAACCTTGATGTCAAATGATCCTTTACCGAGAACCATTTTGTCCTCGTTCAAAGACAATGGCATCTTTGGACCTTTGACATCCTTTAACCCTTGTTCTTGAACGCTGGATACTAGTTACTAGAGGAAACACTCAAACACATACTACATGACATACATTAACTAATCCGACCTCAATCTTCCCACCACACCCTCGGATCTTCACCCCAGAACGAACGAGTCGGTCCGAGAACCGACAGAACTCACCGGAAGGGCACGGTCGCCAGTCCCAGGAGTCCCAGGCACAGAAGGTGGCCAAGAGGTGGCCGAACTTCGCGCCGCCCGCCATGATCAAACGTCCCGTGTGCGACGTGTTGCCCGACTGATGAGACACCGTCATGCCTGCGTTGCTTCGCGAAGTACACGGTCCCGCAGGGGAGAGACGGACCATGAAGGTGGATGAAGTGGATGGGAAGGTGGATGGGAAGGTGGATGAAGTATAGTGGATCCAGTGTTTTGGGGGGGGCTTTCGAAAAGGAAGCTGCGCTACTCTAGGACCTTTTTTCGCTATTCCAGAAGGTGAAAGCTGGTGCTTCTTTCATAGATGTCCACAGCAGTGTGATGCCGAAGTGAGAGCTGCTAGCACGCAGTGGACGCTGCGATCATGTGGCCTCTCTTGATTTTGGAACCATGGGTAATTAGGGTTGAATGTCGATCACTTCAGGTTTTCGGTCCGAAAGGTGTTAGGAAAACCTAGACCAGACCACCCACTCATGTGTCCGGTCGTCGACTCGACCTGTCTTCGCCTGTCCTTTCATGTCTTAGTTCCCAAAAAGGTGACCTGATAGTTGGTAGTATAGTAGCGTCCTTGCTCCTAGTATTACGGCCAGGAGCCCCTAGTAGCGTCCTTGCTCCTAGTAGCGATGCCAGGAGACCCTAGTAGCTTCTTGTTACTAATAGTTGAAGTGCATCACCACTGGGACAACTTCAAATCCTCAAGGTCAGCTGTCAACCTTCTCATTTTGGAGGAGCGTCATCATAGGTCTCTTGAACCAACTGTGGAGTTTACAACCAAGCCACGAAACGTTTGGTTTCTCCGGCAGAAACAAAAGACTTGATCGAGGTGTTTTGGTTTGCTAAGATGCCCATGTCGATGATGGTCAAGGCGTTCACCAGGCCGCTGGTGAAGCACAACAAGTTCTGAATCATCAGGAAGCTCGCCTGAAAAAAAGGGTATATTGACCCCCAAAGAGATAGACAAGTAGATCCCCACTAGAAATGTTGTGGACACCGTTTCTATATATATATATATGTCTATCCGTTTGTGGATCACTATAGTCCAATCCAATCACCTACTGAGAAGGCTGTGGTCAAGCTGACTGTTGGCAACATCCCGAACACTAATTTGACTATTTCACACTGTGCTATATATTATGAATATGCACAGGACAGGTTGGAATATCACAGTCGTCAAACATCCTCTGGACATACCAAAGACATTCAACTTTGAACAGAGAACACAAACAACCATTTATGGTCTGATTTGGTGATTCCAACACATTTCACCACCTTCGACCCACACAAAGAACTTCGACTAAATCACCTCTACAAAGCACGAAGAGAGCACAAAGTACGAAGGAACTTTATTGAACACCTTGATCTTCAAGCCGGACTATGCAAGGAGACCCTAAATGAACCTATAGTTCTAGTCAACTGACAGAGCCAATGTTCGTAAAGCCCCACCGACGCCCCTGTAAAGCCCCAGCTGGTTCGTCTCGTCATCCGATCATCCGAGTGGCATAATCCGCGCGATCCTCAGCGTTGCCTTGCCGAGGGGTGCTGGAATTCTCGGTGAAGCAAAGAGCGCCACAAAGAGCCATTGAGAGGAAGGTGAAGAGGAGGGGGTGGTCCGCCACGATTTGCACCTGAGTTCAGAACCCCCTTGGATCAGTGTACGAACAGCAGCCACTAACTACTGGAATAACATGTAGGAGGATGCGTTATTCAATCCCTCTCCTAGACTCACACCATCAATGAATCAAACCAGTCTCTTGGCTCAAATCAAAAATGCCATGATAACATTTACATTCTGGGGTAAGGGGGCTGGATATAGAACATTGTACAAGTAGAGATATTTTAAACTAATTAATTCAGTTCGTTTTGGAATTTCCACCGCCGATTTTTGAGCTGCTGTAGAGCGGTGTCTTCTCGTTTGGTCATTCTCGGACATCGACTGCGACTCCAATCGCCCAGAGATTGGCCTGTGGTGCTGAGAAATTGGCCAAACCGTGACAGTAAAATTCGTACATGATGGATGTTGATTCAGTCCTCGATTCGCGTCCATCGACATTGTTCGTTGTTTTCGTCGTCATGCTCTCAATTGACATGACCCTATGCCAGTCCGGGTTCCAGCTGTGTGTACGACATCTGAACAATCAGAACCGCACATGGCACCCTTCCGCATCCGAGCGCCGAGTAGATCGGAGACCTACGGAGGTCGTCCAGTCAGCACTAAGGCACGCCTGAGGAAGTCTCAACGGGAGCCTCTTCCACCTTGGTGAAGGTCAACTGGGAGAAGTTCCACACCTCCGTTGCAGCGTGTCTCTGCGACACAGGTGCGTGTTTGAGTTCAAAGAAGCACTAACGGAGAGATGTACAATGTACATATAACAATGTTGTTGTTGAATTTGGGGGGTTGAGTCAATGTGTCATTTTTGTTGAGTTCGAAAGGGAGGTTTCATCTGAAGCCGTTGCTAGCTTTGAGATGAAGGCCCCTAAGGACTGTTCAGGGAGACTGATCCGCTTCTGCTTCAACACCCCAAATGATCCAAAAAGAGCGGGAGGTCAGTCACTCTCGCAAGTCAATCAACTTAACCATTCCTCTTGTATCTTTCACAACAAACAAGCTCAACTAGACGACGGATGGCCCGAGAACGTTTAGGTGAAGAGTTATCCTGTATAAGGTATGCGTGCACTACGATGAAACAGTAAAGGAAGAATGATTGTGAGATTGTGAGAAAGAAAGTGAAAGAGACGGTGAGAAAAACATGAGATGAAAAGGACGTTCACTGGAGGAGGGAAGCAATGATGTCTTCCAGTCGATGTTCATGCAATGCAGGTGTGTCTGCGTTTTTGGGCATCAAAACCTTTGGATTCAGGTCCTGCCCAAAAAAGTCTTCGAGCCGAGTTTTGTATGTGATTTTGCAGCAAATTTGAGCAGCCTTGCAGCCACATGCTTGGGGTCTCCAAGGCGACATTGATGCAGGTTTGCGTGCTTTTGCAATAGAATGTGTGGATCCAGGTCCTGCCTGTTTGTGCAGTAAAAATGTGTGGATACAGGTCCAATCCCAAAAGAGGTCTTGATGTTTATGCTGTTTATATATATATATGTGCAGAACTAGAAAGACTAGAAAGAAAAATGTGTGGATCCAGTTAAAGCCCTAGAAGCCTAGGAGGTTTTTTGTTAACTGATGTTCATGGACCACTTGAAATCGCAGTTTTTGACACCTGACACTCATTTCGTGCTATCGAAGGTTGCTTTTTTGTGGTGACTCGTCGGTACCGCCCGCGGGCTAAGAAAGAAAGACAAATGCAAGAGAAAGAGAGAGAGAGAGAGAGAGAGATGTGAAGATGTGCATGTCTGGATATGTACGAATATCAGGATGTGAGATGTGCTAATGTGAAGATGTGCTCGTGTGGAATATGCAACTCCGGATATGCGCAGATGTAAGCTGTGATTATATGTAGCTATAGTGCACCGTGTATTTTTCAGAAGAACCCTTTGCTCGGGCGTTCTCGGGAACTTACTTTCTGCCACAAATATGTTTGAGATCGCTGCAGCTTTCACCCAGGCACGGTGCAAAGGCACAGGGCCAAGAGCAGTCCTCCACGAATGCGGCGAGAGGTTGGCATCACCATGATGATCCGGACTGGCGGTCTTCGGTCTTCGTGACTGGGCGGTGTTTGGGTCCGAATGGCTGCGAATGGCTGCACGGTGGGTCGTGTCAAATTGCATACACTTATGACAAAGGTTAGGCGAGAAGAAAGAACCTCTGCATATCTGAAGTGGCAATCCTTCTGGAACAATGATGATGTTTGGGTCCATGAGAGTATATAAGAAATTTAATATCACATATATAATGTTGCACAAAATGCCAATATGTCCTGCGTGCTTGTGATCCTATGTTTTGGTTTCTGGGTGCAAGTACGTATAGATGTTTGCGCCAATGAGACACAACTTGCAGAAACACAGGGCCCATGCTAATCGCAATTGGCACATGCTGCCCGCCAGGGCCCCCGTGCACACAGTGACTTTCTGGCCATGTGCACTGCCGCGGATGTGGAACTTCTTCCCCAATCTGCGCAGTCCGCCGTCCGCCGCAGGTGGGACCAAAGGGGTCAGGTCTGGGATTTGAAGGTGTTTGGACTGGGACCCAACATTTGCTGATGTACAGCTTAAATTAATGTAAATTACATAATATTAAAAATATATTTGTATATATATATATATACACTATTGATCTCACAAAGTGCTGACCAGGAAATATCACCAAGGTTTGAATTTGATTCCAAGGCCAAGGCTTTTTGTGGAGGGAAGGGCCATCTGGTGTTTGCCAGCCGGCTGGTTGTGGTTCCAAGCAAGATCAAAATAAAAGAATGAGATCAAGTCACCTATACAAATTGTGTCATTTCTTTCGGTCTGATCCTGCAAACGTTTGGCTTTGATCTATCATACATTATCTTACAGACTATCAAACGAATTCCCGAATTTTTGGACCAGATTTCATCGCTTTTGACCAGACCCGTCGTTTCGGGCGAACCAGTCGGACTGGCTCCGGGGCACATCTGCAGCTCTGAGCTGTGGAATTCGCCATAGTCACTCCTCATAGTCTGACGCTTTCGCCAGGAGTCGCGTCTTTTCGCTGCCGAAGTCATCCAACACAGCTTTTTTTAAACAAAAGACAGGTTGGACTCTGGACACAAAAGACCGTCAAAAAAGCAGGGTGGGTCGATCAACATGGGGCCTTTAATCGCAACGAACATTCCAAGAAGGCAAGCGTGCAACTACGAAGGCAGGCATTTTCAAACTACGTCTCTCTGGAAGGACAACAAAGACACTCCACCGCCATCAGCCATATCTTAGCTTATATAACAAGACCTCGACAATTGCTTCCACATGATCCAATTGACAAGTTTGTCTTTAGCGTCCATTAAGCAATCTGGTACAGAAAGTAAACGCAGTGCGTCTCCCCATTGAGGCCCATTGAGAGAACTTCTTGTGAACCTTCTGTTGGCTTCAAGGAGTTTTCCAGCCCCCATTCCCCATTTACACAAGCATAAACACAAATCAGTACAAACCAAGCTAGTCATACGTTGAGTAACCCCCACTAGTTGTCACCTATTGCAGCTTCAGTCGATGTCATTTGTTTAGATGTCTAGGGCCTAGGGTGCTGCACATGCCAAAACAACAAGAACATATACAAGAACCAAAATGGCCACTGATATGTCTGCCATCTTCAATATGGCAACCAACACTCAGTCACTCCAGAGGCAAAAGCGACAAACATACAGTCTACAGTTGGGTGCCCTTCCATTAGCCATGCGGCGGACTCATGAGCAAGACCTGCACGACCGTCAAGAGCTCAGCAGGCAAAACACCAGTGGCAGGGATTGCGTACCTGGCTCATATGAGCTCATCATCTGTAATGTCGGATGAATAATACCCCATTGTATGAAGAGGTTCTACAATCCACACAAAGGGGCTTTGTATGGAGGCCCAATACATGTCTTTTACATGCGACCACTTCACCAGTCAACCCGCTCAACCACTTCACCAGTTCCCATTTCGCGACCACTGGGGCTGGGCAAACATGGGGCGACACAGCTTCAGTCCTTCTTCACTCCGCCAAGGCACACAGCTTCCGTTCCCAGCCGCTCCAGCCGCTCCGTGCACTGGCCTTCCATGGCTCGACACCTGGGACGACTTGACGTGATGGCGGTCATGGCACCAGGAGACCGACCAGTGACCTGGAAGGTCGGTCTCATCGTCGACCAGGGCTCCAGGTTGAGACCACCCAACGTCGGGGGTCGGGGTGGTGTACCATTTGATCGAGACTGTTGGCTCAGTCTTCCCAAGTACCAGTAGTGGTGTATTTAGGGGATTCACCTGTCAGCCAAACCCACTGGCCCGCCGCTGGCAAGAAAGACATATGCCGGCTGCGGGTCGCTGGGCCGTTCTTTCCATTGCAGTGTCTCTTCTTCCGGTTTTGCCAGCTGAACTCTTAAGCTTCTCATTGCATGAGCACGTCGAGCACAGCGCTCCCTTCAGACAAGCTTCGCATCTAAGAGCTCCTGGTGAGTGGCCAAAAGCACGTTGTTGGGATTGCGGCCTTGCTCAACCTGTGGACTGTCCCAGAAATTGGTGCTCGGATGATAGTAGCTAAGGCTGGGGATAGTCAGTTGACATAGGACAATTGCTGAGTAAGGATGAAATATTCACAAAAACCTTCGAGATTCTAGATGAAAGCTCCCTCAATATTTTTTTACCTGTGAGGGGATGTGATTGTGCGTGATGCTGGAACAAGCTGCAAAGCCTGTGCCACGGAAAGTTTGGTTTTTGCCCTATTGCAGGTCTGTATCAGCCAAGTCGCCTACTTAGATCTACTTAGTATGAGTAATATATAGTAATATATTATATTTGGGTCTATCCTATTACTGTACCAGTAACAGTGGATGATGATGGTCAATTAGTAAAGGCCTTTCTCTAAAAAATGATAACTGTTTACCGACTGTTACAGGTAATAGGACAAACCAAATATTGTTTATACATATATACACGTACTTGATCATACATTCACAAGTCCGCAGTTTGTTCGCTTTG